CAGTCTGGAGATTACGTCCCAGGCTGGCTTGCAGGCCCAGTGCATGCCAGAAACGAGAGGGGGAGTCCTGTGTTTGGTGGCTAGAACCGGGGCTGGAGCAGGGGACTGGGTGGGGAATGGCGGGTAGGGGGGATTTGTGACACTGCCCGCCTTGTAAATACCTGCCACGTCCCAGGCAGATGAACGAGATGGCTCCAAAGGCATCTCCCGTCACTGACAGCGCTGAAATAGACCAGGGTCTCCACCTGGGATTCCCTGCCAAAATGGGCATCCCCGGCGGGCACCTCTGCCCAGATATGCCGGGGCCGTCAGTCACGCTCGCGGAGGTGCCGCCCTCTCCGATTGGCCCCGGCCTGCCCTGTTCAGCTCACCCGCGTCGGCTTAGCTGAGAGAAGCCTGAGCTAGAGACAGCCACGAAGGCCTCGGGCCGAACGGAGCTGATCCAGAGAAGTGCTGAGTTCCCATCGCGCTGCCTCAAGCTTCCCAGGCTCCCGTTTCCATGGGATTTCCATGGGAGCCGGGGTGCTGAGCCCTGCTCAGAATTAGGCCCGTAGTCGGCGGGAGATTGGCAACCAGCAGTAACAGCTGAAAGCTCAGGGCCGGGGAGCACAGCTCTGGGGGATCTGCCAGAACCAGCGCAGCTTCACTCAGACAAGCTCATCGATCCGTGGTTAAGTCGCCATCGCTTCCCTCTCCCGCCCTGAGACCTCCACGTTACTGCTGCCAAGCGCCTAGATGCCACGGGGATGGGCACGAGTCAAACTCTACAATAGCTAGCAGCAGGAGAGAGGCCTCAGAGGGCTGGTCTAGAGAAGCCCCGCACTGGCCTGGCGAAGATGCTGGTGGAAACGGACAGAGCCCCATTGGCCAGCGCGGGGGGCTGGGTACAGTACTCCCCCCCACCTCTGCGGCCTTTCCCCAGCAGCTGGTTTCTGGAGACCGTCCTCAGGCAGGAGCGTGGCTCGGACGAGATGAGGCAGGTCTCGGGAGCCACCTGTTGGGGGATATTCTGTGCGGAAGGGGAACGGTTTTGCTGCTCCGTCTCCTAGCAGGAATGCGGCAGCTCAGGTTTGCCCAGTTCCTCTCGTCCCAGGATTCCTGCTCTCCGAAGGAGGCTTGGCTTCTCCCTGGCGGAGGTGTGCCAGGAGGCCGTGGCTGCTTTGCTGCCGGAAGTCTCTCTTTTCGCGTACCCTGTTCTGAAACGGTTCCTTAAGGGGCTGTTGCATTTGTCCCTCCTGCCTCCTGGGAATGGACCCTGGAAACCGCCAGAATGAGAGATCCCACTTAACCCAAGAGCGGAGCGACCTCACTAATGCCTTCCCCTACCACTTGCCGTCCTAGCTGGAATTCGGCAACCAAGAGGCAGGACCCTGCAGCCCCTCCTCCATTGTCAAGTTTGCAGGAGACAGGGTGGCGTTACATCTCCTGGGGCTTGTTCCTGGTTGGGTGAGGATTCCATCCATCCTTCCACAGCCCCGGCTGCCTCCGCGTCTCGCCTGCGTCCTGATCTCAGAGACTTGTCAGGCGGCTACGTGGCTATCGGTTCGCACCGCTGCTCAGTGCCGCTGTCTTGATTCTTGGAGCCGCGTTGGACGCTGGGTTCGGGAGGCTGCTCCTGCTGGGTGGCCTCCCTCTGAGCCTTGCGAGCCACCTCTCGGGGAGCGATGGGGGTGGACGGGGAATCGTTTTGCTGCCTGCTGTCCTGGAGCCGGCTGGAAGGGGGAACATTGCTGAAGCTCCCTGGATGCGTTGCCTTCCCAGACCCATGCCGACCGGCCTCGCTCCCTGTTGCTTTGGAGCCTTGACTCATTAGGCAGAAGATCCAAGCAGGGTTGGAACCACCAGCCTGTAGTGTCTTGTGTGGAACATTCAGATCCGCGGACGGTGGCCATGCCCGGTCCTCAGCATGAACTGATTTAGGGCCAGTCCCAGCCGGGTCTCAGATCCTCCCGCCAGCCCCTCAGTTGAGGGTGGCTCTACCGTACAGCCCTTGGCCAGCTCCGTGCTGGTAAATAACCGTCCATTCCTCAGGCCATTCGTGGGGTAGAATGGGAAGAACTGCGAGTCTGGGAGGCTCCGAGCGACCTAATGATGCTCCAAGCCGCAGGAACCAATACGCACCCTGTGGCGGCGCTTGTCTGTGTGTCCCGAGCAAAACATCTTCAGGAGCAAACTAGCAGCACAAGAGCTAAACCGTGGCAGGCCGGGGCTGGTAGCAGGTGTTGACAACAGGGGGCGCTACTACCCCTGAAATGGACGTTTCCTGGCTCCCGGTGCAGCCGATTGCTGGCATACCAGTGAAAAAGGTCCACAATAATTAACTGCAATACACAGCCGTTTAGTGAGAAGGAATTACACAAGCGGTAAAGGGTTATATTAAGCACATAACTCCTACGTTAGACATTAAGAGCTCTACGTTAAGAGCTATACATTCCTCTTAACGAGCCTCTCTTTCACAAACAGGCCCTGCGCTAGCCTCACGCAGTTCCTGCTTGGCAAACAGAGAAGGTGGTTACCAATTTCTGCCCTCCTGGTCTGTTCTTCTCAGCCCTCTGGTCTGTCTCGGATTCCCACGAGGGAAGGCCTTGGTTGCCTTGAGACCCCTCTGGTCACAGTCCTACGCGAGCCCACGGAGCAGAGGTTTGGCTACTCTGTCTAGCAGCGTTGCTTCTTCAAGCATCAATTAAGGAATCCCAACCACAGTAATGTACTTTGCATGATTTTTATACTCTTTTTCCTCAGAGGAGTCACATGTCTTAAAAGTATGCCCAGTGGGCGTGTGGCTACTAATTTTACCTAATTAGTGGTTTAGAAGGGGGTGGGGGTGGTGGTACCGTAGGAAGATCACCCTACGTTTACTCACTCATCAGTCGTTCACTCGATCTCTCTGCGTGATGTTCCTGCTGTAAGGTCACTATAACCAGGTCGGCCTGTGCTCCTGGCTGGCACTTTATACATGTGCTATTTACTTTTGCGTGGGCCCCTATTTGCCGACCCATAGGTTCAATATCGATCGCACACGCGGGCTTTGCCAGTTCTTCATCAAATCTACTTCTGTGTAAAGGGACCCTGCTCCCAGGATCCTCTGCAGCCCTTCAGCCATGTTTCAGTCATGTCAAGATATGCTCACACCCTTCATTCATCACACGGCCACACCAATTTGGCACCATCCCAGCAGCAGGGGGCACGGGTGGGTTCCGAGGATCGTGAAAGAGACGGGGAGTTCTCCCCCGCTGGCTGTCCTTATTTACGTCGGCTCTTCACAGGGCCGGCGGGCAGCTGGGAGAGCAGCCTATTGTGATACCCCAGCTCAGGCATCGCGGCAGAAAAGTGACTTCTCATTTGTTAGTATTTATTGATATAGGGCCGCTCTATAAAATAACCGGTCCCTGTCCCGGCATATACGGGGTCCTCTTTCCCATTCAGACCCTGGCCAGGCCATATACAAACCCAGCTCCAAGACCAGGCTCGGTTTGTTAATTATCCTCTTATCTACCTGTCAATTTTCACTCCTTTATCTCTTCACGCCGGCAGCTGTCAGACCTGGTAAAATCTCTCGCAATAAAAGTAGAAGTGGTCAGTGTGAAAGGTCCCAGCGTTTTACAATGAGAGCTTTACTGACCATATATGGCTTTTCCGCACCCGAATTTACATCTATGCACATTGTCTCAGTTAACACTGGTTTGGGTCAATTCCAGGAGGTTTTAGACACCAAATGACCTGTCTGGCAGTGAATACAAGCTCCCTGCTGTAAATAATGTTAACTCTTTGTTTCCCGGGCTAGACCTGATCAATCACTATGCAGCAAAGCATGGGTGCTGACTCGGTGGGTGCTCTGCGGCTCAAGCACCCATGGAGAAAAAAATAAGGGGTGCTGAGCTGTTGGGTGACTGCTGGGAGGCGCTTGGGGAGGGGGGAAAGGAGCGAGCGGCGGGTGATTGGGGGGCCTTGGGGGAGGGGCGGAGCAGGGGCAGGAAGAGGTGGCGCAAGGGCGGAGCCTTGGGGAGGGGGCGGGACAGGAAGAGGCAGAGCGAGGGCAGGGCCTCAAGGGAAGGGGCAGAGTGGGGGTGGGGCCTCGGGGCAGAGCAGGGGTGGAGCACCCATCGGGGAAAAATAAAAGCCAGCGCCCATGTTGGAAGCAGGCGTTTAACGTTAAGAACATGCTGACGTCCCATCGCTCGTTGAACGCGAAGCAGGCGCTGAAATCGGCATGGCCAGCTTTTGTGACTGTTAGCACGGCCTCCCAATATTTGGTGTGTTTAAGATCCCGGATGGTGGCATCAGAGAGAATCTCTGTGCTCAGTTTTCTGGACCTGGTGGTTGAGACAAGCTTGTAAACGTGGCCTGAGCGTGAGCTGAAAGCTCAGCCACCAGACCGCGGGGAAAAAAGCACCCACCGTTTTTAGTGATCCCATGATTTTGAAGGCAATCTCACGACGCCGGGGCCCGACTCATGCTTTGCGAAGGCGTGAAGTTGGCGTTGGTGTTCTTTGTGGAGCGGGGACCATGAGCCTTAACTCTCGGGCCCGGCGACCCTTCAAGCTGGGGGTGTGACTTCCCGCTGCAGGAGACATACCCGCGCTAGCTAGCGTGCTTTAAACAGAGGATAGCCACGGTGGTGTCCAGGGCAAGCTGCCCCGAGGATGGTCTCGTGCGAGACACGGGCCCGGACTCAGGTGCCTACCCCCTCCCACCGCAGCTCCTCCGCTATTTTTAGCATGCTAGCACAATCAGAGCTGGTGCTTGTATGTCTTCTTGAGCTGGAATTTTTGCCCGTAGCTCGGAGCGTAGGCGCTGCTCTGTGAAATCCCATCCCACCCCTTCAGAGCCATGGTCAGGATTCCAGGGATTGCTGGCCTGTGATGCTTTCCTTCGAGCCCGGAGCGGGGAAGGAAATAGGACAGTTTAGCCTGTCCTGGGAAGTGCGGAAAAAGAGTCAGAGGCACTTTTGCCGTGGGTGGAGCCTTAACCCTCTCCTCTCTCTCTCTCTCTTTCCACAGCCGTCCAACGGGGAGAGCACCGCCAAGCATGTAGACGCCACAGTAAGTGACATGCCTTCGCGCGTTCGTATCAATGCTAGAGATCGGGCCGAAGGGCGGGATCCGGAGTCCGAGGCGACCGAGTCTCTGATGGCTGAAGGGACTCCTGTTCTTCTCCCTGCATCGGTTTAACGACACCCATTGTGGTGTGTTGTCCCCATGCGGGATTTATTTTGTTAGCAAGGGAAGACGGAGGCCTGGAGATTTGGCCTGCTTCCTGGTAAGGAGCATGGGGAGTATAGTCCATCGAGCAATTTCCTGTTCTGAGAAGTACTATACTGAGAAGTGCCACTAGAGGGCGACAATTCACGACCTGCAACTGGTACATGACATGCTAGATTTGAGGTCTTCTTCCTGAGCTGAAATCAGAAACTGTCCCCTCGAATAAGCCGTGGGTTGCGCACCTGTTGTGAATTGAGCTGAACGGCCGTGCCGCAAGCACCGTGGCTGGGCCAACTGGCTTTGGAAACCAGAGAGCTGATTTCAGCTTTCTCACGGATCTGGAACGCGTCTGGGAGCATTTCTGCAGAGCCGAGAAAGGGCTGATAATTTTAATTCCCGCTGCATCCTGGGGGCCAGGTGGGAGGGGCAGTGGACTGTCTGAAGACCCATGCTGGAGGTTTTATGGAGTCTGGCCAGCACTAGGAATCTCCTGTGAGATGATCACCTTGCATATGCTGCTACTGAAGTTCTCTCTAAATAGACCCATCCAATCTTTTGTGGTTCTCCCAGCACCATGAGCCTATACCCCCATCTCCCCAGATGAGAGTGCATTGGAACCTGGCTCCGCTGCTGTGGGCCTAACGATCCAGCCCAAACAAATTAACTAGCGAGCTAAATCATGTGGAATTAAACCGAACAAGGCTTCTGTCTGCAGCAGCAAAACAGCCCTTTGTTGGCACCGGGTTTTTTTCCATTACATGTGCAGCTGTAAACATCCTTGCGGGCGTCTGTCAGTAGGATTAAGGGCTGTTTATGGCCACGAGGCAGCAGCAACGCCTGGGGCTGTGCAATTGAAATTTGCATCTGACCCACGCCACCATTCCATAGGGGGCATCGTTAGTGGCAGCAGAAGCTGCCAAGGGGTGGGGTTGCAGTAGCACGTGGAGGCTCCATGGTGCCAGGCACTGCCCAGACACAGAGTAAAAGCCTCTGCCCCAAAGATCTTCCAGGCTAATTAGACCACAGAAGGTTTATTGGCCCCATTTCACAGATGGGCAGTTGAGGCAAAGTGACATGGCCAAGGTCAAACAGAAAGTTGGTGACAGAGCTGGGAACTGAACCCCGAGTTCCCAGGTCCCTGCCACAAGGCTGGTCTCCCTGGCTCAGGGCGTTCATGTGGCTGCTTTGCTGGAGCTGTTGCTGATCAGTGTGTTTATGGGGATATTAGAACTTGGGTTCGTTATCGGTTTCAAGAGAATTATCTGTCCTCTCTTCCCTGCCAGGACACCAGCGCTTCCCTGTGCTCGCTTGCCACCCCTGCTAGGGTAAATGCTCTGGGGCGTGGCTAGCGTAATGCAAACAGCCTGGGGTTTCGTTAATTGCCAGACCTGGCTCCCCTCTCCCTTCAGGGGTCACTTGCGATCCCGTCTGCGGAAGGGGAGCAGGGGGAGCCGTCTGTGAATCGCAGCTGGCGGCAACGTTTAATCCCATGAATCGTGGCCAGCCGGATCATTTCTCAGTTCATCAATACAAGAAAAGGTCATTTCAATGCAGTCAGCATGTGTGTCTGTGTCGCCCCCGGGTGGCTGGCTCCCGCACTACAAGAGCTGGCTGCTTACGGCTAGGAGAGCTTTCCTTTAGCTCAGGCAGTAGGGGCTTGTGGTTTTGGTGCTGAAGGTCCCAGGTTTGATCCCAGCTGCCGGCTTGTGGTCTCAGGTTCATTACCTTAGGGAGGCAGTTTGGCCGAGTGGCTAGAACACTGCACTGGGACTCATGAGACCTCGCTCTGCCATTGGCCTGCTGCGTGACCTTGGGCAAGTCGCTTCCCCGCTCTGTGCCTCAGTTTCCCTCTGTGTCAGATGGGGATGATGAGCCCTCCTTTGCAAAGGTGTGTTGAGAGCGACTGTTGAAAAGCACGGTGTTAGAGCTAGGGGCTGTCGTGACATCATTTCCCCCTGACTTTAGCAGGCAGGTTCAGTGCAGGCTTCCCCTGCCCCGCACTGTCGATGCACCTTAATGCCTCCCCTTCCGGCCCTGCAGCTAGGCAGAGCCCCTCTGCAGGGCAATCCAGCCAGGCCCCATCTCTGGAGTGTGACTTGGCCAGAGGTCTGCCGGAGCCCCGGTGTTCGTTGCAATTTACACGAAGAGTCTATTCTGCAGATTGATGTCAGACGGGTGGCCGTTGACTGCAGCCCCCCAAAAGCTCCGCCCCTGCTTTGGCGGCTCATTTGCAGCTTCACTTGCCTCCTCTTCACTTAGAAGTGAAGTGAAACAGGTGTGACTCCTCTTCCCCCTGGGGTCCCCACCCAGTGCATCTGCGGCAGCCTCCGGAGGAGGAGCTGGCATTTCGCGGTCTTCATGGAGAGCCAGGCGCTGGCGAGGCTGGTCACCTGGCAGCGCCTGGCACGCTGAGGAGTTCTGTCTGTCGGCACAAAGCGACGCCCAGGGGCAAGGCATGATGGGAGACCAGAGCAGTAGCTTTGGGCCAGAGGCTGGTTTGTTACACCAGCACGAAGACAATTGCAACCCCAGATTTCCCCCGGCCCCCTGAAAACTCTCTTCTGCCAGGAAACCTGCAGGAGCCTGGACACCGTTCGGTTGCTGGGAGTACTGCCGATCGTTACGAGTTGGACCCGGGACCAGGATCTGGTTATCTACACCCTCAGGAAGGTGCTGGAGGAGAAAGTGTCTGGAAAATAGAGAGGCCCAGCTGGGAGTTCTGTGTAACACACGAGGCCTGGACGTTTCACTGGCTATCAGATGGGGAAAGGCTATTAAACCTCATGCTACAGGGTGCAAACCAGGACCTACTGTGGGACAGATCCTGCCCTGCCTTCTACTGCCGTGTTCTCCTTCCCCCGGGGCTGCTCCGGTCAGAGACGGGATCCTGAGCTAGATGGAGCCGGGGGTTTGGCCCTGCCTGTGCTGTTTGCTCAGCGCTGCGCTAGGTGAATGGGCAGTGGGTGGGGTCCGGTCTAACTGATGTGGAGCCAGCCCCACGAGGCAGGGATCGCCCCAGCCTGTCGCATGTGAAAGGATCTTTTGTGGCTTCTCCCTCCCCACAGCTCGGATCCTGGCTGCTGCGCATCAGAAGCCCTTAATAACATTAGCCTGGCCTGTTCTTATTGCTATCAGCTGATAGCGGCCTGATTCTTCCTCCGGGCGGGAGGGGGCCGGAGGAGTGGGGCGGAGGCTGCTCCCGGACCTGGTGCGCGCTTGTGGTGAGCCTGCCGCGCTGCAGAGGGGAAAGGACGGTGGAGCTCAGAGCCCAGATCTAAAGGCAGAAGAACTAAGCGCGGAGCCTGTGCCAGCCTCGTGCCCGTTCAGTAACCCGCACGCCGTGACCCAGCTCTGCCCTGGGCTGCAGCTCGGAGTAACTGCCCCGGGGGGCGGGTTGCTTGCGAAGGTCTCGGGGGAGAGGAGCGGCCATGCCTTGGAGGTGGATTAGCAGGAGCTTCACCTGGTCCAAGGTAAATCCATGGGCCGAGGGGTGAAGGCGCCAAGGCGGAGGTGGGAGGGCAGCGAGGCGCCGCGGGTCTGCGCTGCTTGGCTTTGCCCTGGGGTTTACGCACCCCAGGGTGGGCTTGTCGCCTCCCCAGTGGGGAAAGACGGAGTAGGAGGGCGATGGAGCAGGAGACACTCTGACAGGCCCTGGCGGGGGCCAGCACAAGAGATTTCCCGGGGGCTGTCTGGTCTCATTTCCTTCATGGAAGGGTACAGAGTGGGCAGCAGTGAAAGCCTGCCGCTGACCTGCTTCGAGGCCCTGTGATTCCTCCCTCCGAACGCGCCCAGCCTGGCCCGAGCTCAGAGGGCACGTCGGTCCTAACCCCGGCGGGCGCTGTTGTCCGGCGGTTAGCACAGCGGACTGGCGCTCCCAGCTCCTGGGTCTATTTGTGCCCCTTGCTGATTCCTGCTCGGGCTCCTAGGATGCCCTCCTGCCAGCTGGGAGCAGCGGGGGCGGAGATGGGCCAGGCGAGCGAAGTGCACACGCTGGAGGGGCACTGGCATGGTGCGCGCCCCGTGCTGGAGGCTGCTGGGCGGCGTAGGTGAGGATCCCGGCGTGAGTGCGATTCCCCGGTGCAGGGGGCATGATGCGCGCCCGATAAACTGACCCCTGCTGCCCCGAGGACACCCTGGGGCAGGAGGGCAAAGGCCAGTCGCGGCTCCAGGCACCCTGCAGTCCAGTGGCTCTCTGCTTCTGGAAGCGTGTTGTTGCTCTCGCTGTCTGTCTGTCTTTGGGCTGGACCCGGGGGGGGGGGGGGGGGGGGGGTGTGTCGCCGTCTGAAGCCTCGAAGGTGTCGTAGACAAATTTGCCCCCTGGCAGTTAAATAGAATAATTGTATTTCAAAGTGGATGCCCACACTGCGTAGACAAAGCCGCGATGCTGACGGAACCGGAGGCTCGGTGCCGCAGGTTTTGCTTTGCCGGGTGGAGGTCCGCGAGGGGGAGCGAGCCGGGTGTTTGGGCAGTAGGACAGCCCGGCGGCTGCCCAGCCCCCTCGTGCTCTGCAGGAGGTCGTGCCGAAATCCAGGTCCGTGCCCAGCCCCCTTCTGGATTCACTGCAGGATTCAGGTAGCCGTCACCTGGTAGAACCCCAGAGTCCTTCCAGCCATGTCCGCCTGACGGCCATGTGCTGGTTGGATCCCGTCCGCATTGCAGCCAGCAGCCGGCCGACCCGTGCTAGCGGGATGTGAGCTAGCGGTGTGCAGGTAGCGCCTCTGGCGGAGCCTCGGTCTAGCCACCCGAGCCCGGACGCAGGGAGTCGGGTGGGCCTGAGCTCCAGCCCAAGCCGCAAAGCCGGCTCCAGCCCTGCTAGCAGGAGTGGTCTGCCCCGCCTGGGCGGCTCGCAGCCAGCTGCAGTGTAGACACAGCCGAAGGGAGTGAGTTTGGCCTGGGAGGAAGCCCGGCGAGTGGCTTTTTCGCCGCAGCGAGCTCCCAGAGGCTGAGATGTCGGGAGCCACAGGCTATTAATGAGAATGGACGCAAACTCCTTGGGGGCGTGGGGCTGCGGGCTCAGGACTAGCGAGCGAGGACACGGCTGTCGCTCGGCGTGAAAAAGGCATTTCTCGCGGAGAAAGGTGGCGCTCTCGGCTGTCACTCGCGGGGGGTGCTTGGGCAGAAGGATTGGGAGCAGGGAGAACACCGAGGGCTTTCTGCTGCGTGGAGACGCGCTGGCTTGGCCGATCCGGCTCACCTTGAAAGGTAACTTTCCCGCCGACGGGGGCCGAGGAAGGAGAGCGTGGCCGTGATGTTCAGCTTGCCCTATCTGCTGCCCCTGACGCCCATGGTAAAACTGCCCTTGACGTCTTCGGCCAAACACTGTCCTCTGGAAACTCCCCCACACCCCCCTCCGCGTACAGCCCCTGCGGGGGAATGAGCCCTCCCTCAGTGACAGCTGATCAACCCATTGCAAAGGTGATTTGCAGCGAGCATGCTGGGTCTCCTTTGCTCCCGTTCGGGATGATATTTTCCACTGCGGTGGCCCTGGGGATGTGGGATGACTAAGGGGTGCCTTTAAAGGGGCAGAGCCTCCTGAAAATGTCCCAGCGGGGCGCGCGTGTGTGCAGCCAAGCAGGAACCCCCACCCTAAAAATTGTCCTAGGTAGATCCTAAAGCCAGGCCTGTCCAGTGTGCGGTATAAGGATGTCTCCTTGACCAGACCCAACGAGGGCTTCCCACTGCGTGTCCTCTTGGGGACTCCCAGTAGGTGGCGCTCTTCTCTCGGAGTCAGTACTGAACTAATGTGGCGGCAGGAGCCCAAACTCCTCCTGCAGTTTCACCCTGGTACAGGATCCTTCGTCATTTAATGTCCTAAGCCGTTGTGTGCTGGGCATTTTTTTAAACCGCTGCCACGCTCCACCCCAGCCGCAGCTGCATTTCCGCAGGGGGTGTAGCGACTCTTGGCTCTCTAGGGCCAGAGCCTCAGCTGGTGTCCCCCGGCATCGCTCCGAGAAGGATCCAGCCAAGGAACTGGTCTGTGGTTTGCGCAGCGGTGTGGGGCCCTCCGTGAGGTCAGATTTGACTACTCGAGTAAGATGAGCATTTAAACGACTCGTCGCTGATGGCTGGAGATCCTAAAACAAATGAGGTGTGAATGCGCGGAGGGGTTTTTGGAAACCCCACTCTGTTTTTCAGCTGAGGTCATGAAGTCACCCAACAAACAGGCGGCGGATGGGATTCTTGAGGCTGGGGATCGTGTGTAAATAGACGCTTCCTGCCTTGAGAACTCAAACATTTCCTCTGCCGAGCCGAGCCAAGGCAAACGCTGGCTGCTCACGCAGCCTTGCTTGTTAGGTAGCAAATGTGTCCTGCTGGTGGTACAGCCCTGGCCTCTGCTCGGGGGAGACTAGCCCCCCGTCCAGTACAGAGGTGCTGGGCTGGACTGCAGTGTGCCAGCACAGGGGCCTGGAGCACAGGCACACACAGTTCTGTGCAACTGGCGTGGCTGAGACCAGAGAAACTCGGGACATCCATGTGAGTTTCACTTGGAAATATATCAGGAAAAAAAGAGGGGAGGTTTTCAACGCCCCTTCCTCTCATCTGGCCTATACACAATAACTATAGGACACTGAGAGATGGACCTAACCCTTTGGAAGCCGGCTGGATCTTAGATACAAGGCACCTGCTAATGGCTGCGGGGGCGGGTTGTTGGCCTGCAGGAGGCGCTAGCGTGGGTAGGTTTCCCATAGCGATGACCTGGGGAAAGGATGTGCTAGAGCAAGGTGCCATGGCTGGAAAGGCTCAGCGATCTCTGCTCCCTACGTGGCCCACCTCAGCGCTGACCAGAAGACAGGACGCAGCTTGGCTGGAGCAGATTTGTTGCCAAGAAGGCTGACGGCATATTGGGCTGTATTAGTAGGAGCATTGCCAGCAGATCGAGGGAAGTGATTATTCCCCTCTCTTCGGCACTGGTGAGGCCACATCTGGAGTACTGCGTCTAGTTTTGGGCCCCCCACTACAGAAAGGATGTGGAAAAAATTGGAGAGAGCCCAGCGGAGGGCAACGAAAATGATTAGGGGGCTGGGGCACATGACTTATGAGGAGAGGCTGAGGGAACTGGGGTTATTTAGTCTGCAGAAGAGAAGAATGAGGGGGGATTTGATAGCAGCCTTCACCTACCTGAAGGGGGGTCCAAAGAGGATGGATCTAGACTGTTCTCAGTGGTGGCAGATGACAGAACAAGGAGCAATGGTCTCAAGTTGCAGTGGGGGAGGTCTAGGTTGGATATTAGGAAAAACTATTTCACTAGGAGGGTGGTGAAGCACTGGAATGGGTTACCTAGGGAGGTGGTGGAATCTCCATCCATAGAGGTTTTTAAGGCCTGGCTTGACGAAGCCCTGGCTGGGATGATTTAGTTGGGGTTGGTTCTGCTTTGAGCAGGGGGTTGGACTAGATACCTCCTGAGATCTCTGCCAGCCCTAATGGTCTATGATTCTGTGATTTGCAGCAGGAGCAAGGGATGCACTCCCAGGCTGGCTGTGGGTGCTGTGTGGATAGAGGGTGGGAGGGGGTTGCAGCACAGCTGAGGAGGGGTAGGAGAGGGCTCAGGAGTTTGGGGAGGGGTGGGGTATGTTATAGGATGGGAGGGTATGTGGAGGAGCAGGGGTGAAGTGTACAGAGTACAGGGAAGGGCTGACAGAGGACAGGTTTTCCCGACCTGGGTAAATTTTGGAGACTTTGAAATGGTTTCCCACCCTAAACTGGCCAAAAAGGCAAAACCTCTGAAATTTTCAAGATGCGACTAGGCTGCCTGCTAGTGATTTGCTACGGGGGGGGGGGGGGGGAGCAGGTGTTAGCTCTGAGATCTCTGTGGTCGGAGACACCGTTCCCCGATGAACTCCCACGATGGTAACTTTGCTTTTCTCTCTTTTCTTTAGGAATCCACAAAATCCTCCAAAAGTGCCCAGCCCCGACGCAGACCTTCCAGGTACAACCCCTGTGATTGCCCCCCAGCACCAGGCCATGGGCAGAGACTTCTCCCCCGGCGAGGAGAGCCGCCCGGGCCTGGCCTCATTCCCTCCCCAGCAGCGTGAGATCAGTGTAGACAGGGCTTGTTACTGTTCGATCAACTCAATCTTGTGTTTAAAAACAGAATCTGGAACTCGGCCTCCTCTTGGGGCCTCCTGCCGATGGCTGGTGCCGTGGTTGGTGACCGTGGCAGTATGGAAGCCCGAAGTCTGAGGTTATAACCAGGTGCCAGCCTAGGGTACCGCTGTTTAAACAAGTGAAGAATTTCTTCCCCTTGTGCTGGTGGTTCATTCGCGGATTGCTCCTCCAATTGACCAGAGCTCTCACATGGTGCTAGGGGGCGCTGTGCTGCCTGGGGGGATATCCCAGTAGGGGGCGCTCTCCCCTCTGAATGATTCCCGTGGGACTGAGCTGCAGGAGGGGGACCAGAATTTCCCCCTTTCCCCAGCAAGACTAAGACCAGCCCAGGCCGATCATCATCTCGGCGTCTCTCCGCTGTGTACTTCAGCCCCTGTCCTGTAGTGCGCGGAGCTCCTTCAGCTTCCAGTGAAGGCAGTGGGAAGGAGGGATGCTGAATGCCTGGCAGGGTGGGGCCCGTTTCTGGGGTCCTTGTGAGCTCACCCATACCTCAGGTGCCCCTTTCTTCATCTCCTCTATCTCCATGGGACGCCTGTGGTCTCCAACCCTCAACCCCTGCTTAGAAACGCTGTGCACCCTTGGGCCGGGGGGGGCGACCTCTGCATCCTTGCAGGGCAGAGCATCACTCCCCCAGGCGGGTGCAGGCTGCCTTGGCAGCTGTCTCCCTCAGGACCCCACAGCCTGTTTGCTTGGTCCGTGGCCGGATGCCAGGAGAGAGAGAGGCCCGTTGAGTGCGTTCCAGCCAGGCTTCACTTGGACTTCATTGATTATTTTGTGTAACCGAGATAAGCTCCCGGAGATACGGATCTGGTTGCCAAGAGGCAACAAAGGGAGAATGTAACGAATGGCGCTTGGAGATGGGGATGGGCTGGACAAGGTGGGGCCTGGGTCAGCACAGGAAGGATCTCTTCACCTGTGGGGCCTTGTAGGCTGCTCACCACAAACTACCCACCAGTGTCGGGCTGGGTGGTTGGGAGGGTTAGCTCTGGACGCGGTTTCCAGGAGCTCTGCCACTTTCTGCTATGGTCAATGGCCATTTGGACCCAGAGCCACCAGCTGCACTGAGAGCATGCGGCTGGGTGCAGAGGCTGGCACGGCAATTGGCCCCGTCTCTGCACCAATGTAGCTGGTGTACAGAGTAGGGGGTGGGTAGCTCCCACACCTAAACTCCATGGCTAGACCTGCCATGGGAGTCCCGACGTGTCCTCGCTCCAGCCACTCGACCTTCCCGTGTCCGTACCTTGCCCAGCCCATCTGTGGATCAGGGATGATGATCATTAGCGCACGGGTCTTAATGACCTACCGCTTACAACGCCCTTTGCAGTCGTCGGGCCAAGGAGGGTGCTGCGGGAACGCCACCTTGTTCGGGTTTCAGATCTCTAGACCTTCGCCCCGCAGGCCCGTAGCGCCCTGCTGGGCCCTGAGCTGGCTGCTTCTTGTTGGCCCAGGAGCGTGAGCGTGGCCCAGACCATGGAGGACAGCTGCGAGCTGGACCTGGTGTACATCACCGAGCGGATCATCGCCGTCTCGTACCCCAGCTCGGCCGAGGAGCAGAACTTCCGCAGCAACCTCAAGGAAGTGGCCCAGATGCTCAAGTCCAAGCATGGAGATAACTACCTGGTAAGAGACATCGCCCCGCTCCCCATTGGCAGGTGGCCGACTGGAGGGCCTGGGGAGGAGTGTCGGGAAGGGTGTGGAACTGACTGTGGGAGAGGAAGCTGTAGGGGCTGGGATCCTGAATTCCTGGGGTTGCCAAGCCATCCACCTCCCCGCAGCGTGGGGACGGTCCTGGCACCATGTTCCAGGGTCAGACGGGGACTCGGGAATCTCAGGAGGGTGTGAAATGGATGCCCAGATTCCGAGATCGATACATTCATGGTCACGAGGGTCCATTAAGAATATAAGAATGGCCATTCTGCATCAGACCAATGGTCCATCTAGCCAGGATCCTGTCTTTGACAGTAGCCAGTGCCAGGTGCTTCAGAGGGAGTGAACCAAACAGGGCAATTAGCAAGTGACCCATCCCCTGTCCTCCAGTCCCAGTGTCTGACAGTCAGAGGCTTAGGGACACCCAGAGCATGGGGTTGTGTCCCTGACCATCTTGCCTAATAGCCATTGATGGACCTGTCCTCCATGAACTTCCCTCATTCTTTTTTGAACCCAGTTATGTTTTTGGCCTTCACAACATCCCCTGGCAACAAGTTCCACAGGTTGTCTGTGCATTGTGTGAAGAAATGTTTCCTCTTGTTTGTTTTAAACCTGTTAATTTCCTCAGGTGACCCCTGGTTCTTGTGTGATGTGAAGGGGTAAATAACACTTCCCTAGTCACTTTCTCCACACCCGTCATGATTTTATAGACCTCTATCATCTCCCCCCTTAGTTGTCTCTTTTCTAAGATGGACAGTCCTAGTCTTTTTAATCTCTCCTCAGATGGAAGCTGTTCCATCCCCCCAATCATTTTTGTTGCCCTTCCAAATCCTACCTTTTCCAATTTGAATGGGGCAACCAGAACTGCATGCAGCATTCAAGGTGTGGGCGTACCATGGATTTACATAGCGGCATTCTGATATTTTCTGTCTTCTTATCTATCCCTTTCTTAATGATTCCCAACATTCTCTTCGCTTTTTTGACGGCCACTGCACATAGAATGGATATTTTCAGAGAACTATCCACACTGACTCCCAGATCTCTTTCTTGAGTGGTAACAGCTAATTTAGATCCCATCATTTTGTATGTACAGTTGGGATTATGTTTTCCAACATGCATTACTTTGCATTTATCAACGCTGAATTTCATCTGCCATTTTCTTGCCCGGTCACCTAGTTTCGTGAGATCCATTTGTAACTCTTCACAATCTGCTTTGGACTTAACTCTCTTGAGTAATTTTGTATCATCTGCCAACTTTGCCACCTCAGTCTTGGCCCCCTTTCCCAGATCATTTATGAGTATGTGGAGCAGCACAGGTCCCAGTACAGATCCTCGGGGGACCCCGCTGTTCGCCTCTTTCCATTGTGAAAACGGAGCGTTCTGATCATCCAGTCCAGGGGGTCTCTGCCTTCTCTCCTAGGGGGATCCTGCTCCCGGCCTGCTGGGACATGCCTCCCATTTCGCCAGGGTGGGGTTGTCACATCACCTGTCTGTGAGCCCACTCTGGGACTCTGACCCCAGGCTCTAGTCTGAGCTCTGGTTGACACCCCAGATCTAATCCGATCTCCTGGGTCACGCCGGCTGTGGCATGCACCCAGCCATCCAGCTGCTCGGTCATTCTTGCGGCAGTCACTCAGGGTCGTGCATTTAGGCAGCAACAATATATTGACTGCGACAGCCCTGTCCACCTCTGCCTGCCCAACAGAGAGACCCTGGAGCTGGGCACCGGTCCCCACCTCCTCTCTGACGCAGGAGCAGAGATTCCCCTGTAGCTCCGTGCACCTGGCCCTGCTTCGGCCTGGGTCACATCACCGGCTGCGTGATGCCCCGGGCCAGGCAGCCATAAGGCTTGCGGCCGCTTTGCTGGGCCGGTGGCTAACGGCCTAGCAGAGACTTCCCGCAGCAATGGCTCTGCGGTATGCAGGCGCTGCTCCCTGCTGCGGGTCAGGCCCAGCCCCAGGGTCCCCATCTGGCGCCCAGGCAGAACGAGGGGGCTGTATCTGCCCTGCAGGCTGGAGGGGAGAGTTGTGTCCGTGAGGTTGCAGTGATATGAGTGCGGACACCTGGGGGAGGTACCGTGCTGGGCTGAAGCTGGGTCTGGGTCTGTGCGGTGTGGCCGGGGGGCGCTGTCGCTGGGGCTGGGGCCGGGTCTGTGTGGGGTGGCCGGGGGGCGCTGTCGCTGGGTCTGGGTCTGTGTGGGGTGGCCGGGGGGCGCTGTCACTGGGGCCGGGGCTGTGTGGGGTGGCCGGGGGGCGCTGTCGCTGGGGCTGGGGCCGGGTCTGTGTGGGGTGGCCGGGGGGCGCTGTCGCTGGGGCTGGGGCCGGGGCTGTGTGGGGTGGCCGGGGGGCGCTGTCGCTGTCGCTGGGGCTGGGTCTGACCTTGCTCCACCGTTGCCCTTCTCCTGACTCTCTTCTCTCCTTCTCTCCCAAGCTTTTCAATCTGTCCGAGCGCAGACACGACATCAGCAAGCTGCACTCCAAGGTAAGCGCGGCCGGCCATGGGGGGTGCTCTGGGCGCCATTGAGGGCTGGGGGAGGGGCGGTCTCTGCCCCAGGAGGAGCTGGAGTCTGGCGGCGGGGGCCGGGGGGGCGGGAAGGATCCTGGGTGTTTCGCTCTCACCTCCAGTGGTGCACAGAGCCCAGCGGGGTTGAGTGTGCCCCCTGGCACGTTGTTTTGCCCCCGGGGGCACAGGTCACGAGGCAGGAGTGTTCCCACCCATAAGCACTGAGTTTGGCAGGTCCCTGCCCAGCACCCAATGGCCGACGTCACCAGAGCCCCGTCCCGGACAGCCCCGGAGGAGAGGCCAAGGGTCATGGACATGGAGCACCCCTCTGAGCCCCACAGGGGGTCCCCCAGGGCTGGGGAGGCCCTGGGGCGGTGGGGAGGTGAGGCCTGCCCCTCTTTGGTGCCCAGAGAGCTCTCTTCCGCCTCCCCCAGCCCCAGAACCGAAGGGGGCGCCTGGCTAAATGAAAATCTCTGCAGTGACGAATCCCAGGTCCCTGGTGCCCCCGTGGGTGTGACTGGGGCTACGGAAGTGCCAGGGAATCCCGACGCCGGTCAGACCCGCTGACAAGGAACGGCCTCTCCTGGCAGCCCAGCCGAGCCCGTGCGAGCCGGGCTCCTCTCAGCCTGCGGCGTCGCGGGTGCCATTCTCCGTGGTGTCTTGGCTCTGGGGGCCGGCCTCAGAGCTATCGTGCGACTCCCCAGCCGAGCCCGGGGGCTGCCAGCTGCGATGGGCCCGGCCCTGATCCCAGCTAGTCTTTGGAAGCTGGCTGGGATCAGAATGGGGCCTGGACTCCAGAGCCTCAGGGTGCGTCGGGGGCTGCTAGTGGGGAAAGGGGAGTCCCGTGAGAGCATCCAGGTCGGGACGGGGCTGCCAGCCCTGTGGATCCCCCACTGGCTGCGTGTTCCTTAGCCCCGTGGATGTGTTTTCTTTGTCCGCGAATCCCATCCTGCTCCCGCTGTCTCTGGCAGCCGCACGGGCTGGGCAAGGACTGGGAGCCAGGCACACGCCGGAATCTCCCAGCCTGCCCCCCAGCGCCATTCCCGGAGAGACAGCTAGCATGCGGCAAGCCCCGGCGGTGTGACAGGCGCTGGCGGGAGCAGTCGCAGGTTGATAGCGCCGGGGCAGCGGGAACGGATGGGCCTGGGGGTTGTCTCCGGGGAGCAGAGAAACCGGCCCAGGCCAGGAGTCGCCTGGGTCTCCGCAGCTGGGTAGCACCAAGGAGGAGGGGACCTCCGGAGCACTAATGCAAAGCAGGGATGCAGGCCAGGCTGGCACTGGGCACAATTAACCCCTTCCCACCCAGGCACCACACAGCCCACCCCCCCGCCCAGGTCCTGGTTCAGCACTTCCCATTGCTGGCTTCATGCCCTCCCTCCGTCGCTGTCCCACGTGTGCCCTTCCCCTCAGGCTGGTGGGCAGGTAAAGCCAGCCAGTGCAGCCTGGGTGGGGCTTTGCCATGGGGCTTGATGGCACCACACCAGAGCTGCTTTGGCCCCACAGTTTAGCCCAGGGCCCTGGGCAGCTGGCATGGTGCCCTCCCGTTCCTGCTGGGTACCAGGTGTGGGCAAGGCCCCCTTGTGGAGATACCTAAAGGCAAAGACCTGTTCTGCCCCTAGAAGGGTCTCCTGCATCTCCCAACCAGGGGCCACCTGAGTGGGTCCGCACACTCTGGGTCCCGCCCGGGCAGGTTACCCGGTGGGCAGCAGCGCCCGTGAGGCCAGGCTGGCATGAGGAGCCCTGGGCGTCTACGGCAACCGGTAACCAAAAGCCGCAGAGGGGGAGCCTTCATCTCCTCCAGCCTCCTCCTCCTCCCCCCTGTCTCTGCCCATCCCAGGTGCTGGATTTCGGGTGGCCCGACCTGCACACGCCTGCCCTGGAGAAGATCTGCAGCATCTGCAAGGCCATGGACACGTGGCTGAGCGCCGAGCCCCACAACGTGGTTGTGCTCCACAACAAGGTGAGCGAGAGCGCCCCCCGGGGGGCAGGGCCTGTTCGCCAATGGCCTGGCGGGGAGAGAAAAGCAGGGGGATGCTGTCTCGGGGGGCAGGGCACAGGGAAAACATGGGAGAGCAACTGGGAGGGGGAGCAGGGCCTGGGGGAGACGGGGAGCGCCTGGAACACTTCCCGGAGGGGCTGAACGAGGGACAAGGGGAGAGATGGGGCGCAGGGGCAGGTCCGTGGCCCGTTAACATCACAGACTCAAAGGAAAGAGCTTCATGGCCAGCCCTGGGCCCCCCTGGGAAGCCCCCCCCCCCCCGGCCTTCAGCTTTGGGAGGAAAGAGGTACAGACGAGATGCTACAGAAAGAGAAATTTAACCCACCACTTTTCACCCTCCGCTGAAATGCAGCCACCTCTGGGGTGGGACGTGGCAGCTGTTTAACAGCACCCAGGGACAGTGGATAGGCCCAACAAGTGAAGAAGGATCATGTGCGGGCCTGGCTTTTCACAGGTCCTGGAGCAGATTTCACAGGTCCCTCAAATCAGGAGGACAAATAGGCCCTTTTGCCACCAGCCAAAGGAGAATCCATCCCTAGCGGGCGATATAAACGCACAGATGTGGGTTCGTTTCACATTCCAGCCACCCAAACCAGCCCCTTCTAGCCCAGGATCTTTGCTCTCCATCTCTGGAGCCTCCAAAGGGTTACATTTTTCCTTGTGTCCAGACCCCCTCCCCCCCCCCCGGCAAAGACCCTCGCTCTGACCTGCCTTGCAGCCAGGACAGATGTAGCGACCCCGAAGCATCGGCTTGGCCGGCGGGAACAGCATCTCCCCTAGTGCCCAAGGCCCGATCCAATGGGTCTGACCCTGCAGTCCCACTTGTCCGGGACGGCTGGGGGCCTAGATAAAGCCACCACAGTCACAGGCAGAACATAAGCGACTCATGCTGGAGAGGACGCCCGAGCACCTCCCCTCTAAGAGCAAACGTGCACCACAGGCTGCAGCCTCTGGAGGGCGACATGGTCACCGGCGTCTGACCACACGCATGTTCGTGGGTCCCAGAGACAACCCGTGCCTGCTGATAGTGGGGGAGGGGCGGCACAACCCCGGAGCAGCTCGAGTCACGCCTCCCCGTCCGGCAGCGCCCGCCTCCCGGAAAGCAGCCACCCCGCCCAGCTGTTCCTCCAGCCTCTGGCGCAGCTTGTCAGCTCAGCTGCCCCGCAGGGAGGGGGCCCAGCCACACCATGTGACCGAGCAATCGGGGGCGGGGCCATGCGACCCTGCATGCCCGGCCCCCCACTCGTCACCTCTGGTCTAGTAGATAGGGGAGTGGGGGAACACGCCGGCAGTCAGGCATGACAACACGCTCCGTGTGCGTGATACAGAATTAGGAACACAATAGCTTCCAAATCCAGGCACGACAACCCCACCCCTGTCAAAAGCTTCTGCGGGGTGTTATTCATCACCCGAGATCCCAGCACGGATTCCTCTAGCACCTCCCTTCCCTAGCGCGTCGCTCTGGGCACTTCAGGCTGGAAATATGGTGACCGTTTTGCTGGCTGCTGAAATGCAGCCACCTCTGGGGTGGATCGTGGCGGCTCGTTACCAGCACACTGGGCCCGCTCTAAAGCCTGTTGAAATCAAGGGGAGTCTTTGCATTCAGTGAGCGTTGAATCAGGCCCTGCGCGAAGGACCCTGCCGCTGGCTGGTGGACTCTGGGATGTCTCTGGATGCCACCCGGGATGCCCAATGCCCTCTTTGTTCTGGTCTCTCGCAGGGAAACCGAGGCCGGATGGGAGTCGTGGTGGCCGCCTACATGCACTACAGCAACATTTCAGCCAGGTGAGAGGAGCCTGGCATGCGGGGGGGTGGGGCACCTGGAGCAGCATCCCAGGTGTCCCCTATGGACCCTCTCCCCAAAGCCTTAGTGCCCCCGTGGAGATAACCAGCCCGGGGACCCGCCTTTCGGAGCCCAGTTCAGGAGGACGCCG